TCTCTCTAGACCAGCTGCCTAATTCCAGCAAGGCCTGCATTTGTACCATTCCAGAAAAACGAGTGTCTATTATTAAAGAAGATGCCAGAGCCTTCTTTTGAAAAAAAAAAAAAAAAGAAAGAAAAAAAAAAAGTCCATTCTAGCACCTGACTCCCGGCCCCACTGACTGCAGCTTATATGCATTCACTCAGTCTCCATTTGCTGAAGTGCTACTGAAAGGCATTCAGACCAGAAGAATTACCAGCTAAGAGAAGGAAAACAGTAGAATTTTTACCAACAAAGCCATATAACATCAGCAGCAAGATTAAAAAAATTTCCTATATTCCAACAAGAATTAATTAGTGATTACAATGGGAATATAATAGAGACTTTAAAGACATATAGAATGCAGGAATACCTTTTATAAGAAATATGCAATATCTATGGGGAAACACTATAAAACCTTAGAGACAGAAAAAAGATCTGAATAAATGAAGACACATACCAAATCCTGGATGGAAAGAGCTAATACGTGAATGTGAACTTTTAAAGGTTAATTTATATTGAAATTATTAAATTTTGATTTTGAAAATCCCAAAAGGATTTGAGGGTCGGAGAGATGGGCTGACTATACAGTTTATAGGGAAAAACAAACTAGTGAAAGTAGCTAACAACATGGTAAAATTAAAAAAGGAGGAGGGAGGAGGAGGGATTTGCTTTGCCAGATCTAGAAGTGCATGATAAAACCTCAATGACTGAAGCAATGCTCACTGGCAGAGGACAGCAGAGCAGATGATCAGTGGAACCGGAGAAGCAGTCTAGAAACAGACTTCGCCATGAACTAAGAATTTAATATACAACAGAGGCAGCAAGTTCAAACAGTGAGAGAAAACGGATTCTGTAGAGGAAATGATAAACTGGACAATAACGTGATACTCAAAGGGGCAATCTCCTTCACATGATATAATCTTTTCAAAATAAGGAAAAAGAAACGCCTGAGTAGAAAATAGGCAATACCAGCACACGAAGATATGAAAATTATTTGTGCTGGTAATGTAACAAATGCAAATTAAAACAAGTTGTCTGGTTTTTGTTTTTTTTTTTTTTACATATCAAACTCATAAAGGTCTTAAATTATAATATCACGTTGTGAAGGTTTAAGGAAAATACAGTCTATAACCTGCCCAGTGGGGAGTCCAGCAGTCAACATCGAAAACCATAACAATGCGTACATCATTATTTCTGCAACTATAAATTTGCCCTAAGGATATAATTATGGCGTTGGACAGAGATTTATCTACAAGGTAGTTTAAGGAAGTATTGTTTATATTAGCAAAATACTGCGAAGAACCTAAAACAGGGGATTCGTTATAGGACTTATGGCCCCTCCATATGAGGTAATGCTGGGCATTCACTAAAAAGTAATGTTACAAAAGGAGACGTAAGGACACTAGAAAATATTCATAATGTAGATGAAAAGACCACAAATTATTTACTATGACCCCAGGTTGATTTAAGAAAAGCATGCACAGAAGTCTAGATGGATACAGAACTTAGCAGGAATGGTGGCAGCTGTTACTGCTGCAAGATCTATTACAGGTGATTTATATATATATATATATTTTGTATTTTTTTGAAACTTCTCAATTTTCTACACCAAACTATGTTTTTTCCAAAAACAACCGTTGAGATCAAAAGTTCCACTGCTTTCCCCTGGCAGCTAGAATCACGGACGACTTAATTTTTTTTTTTTTTTTTAAGAAAGACTTTCTGTAGTTCTCAGATTTTTCTGTAAGATTAGTTTTAAAAAGAAAAAAAAGCAAAACACCACCACACACTCGAAGGGTTTCCTTAGGTGACTAGACCCACAAAATGACAGTTCAGAGAAGCACAGGCCAAGTGACAGACACTCCGATCTCCAGGGACATTAAGCTGAAGCCTCCGCCCCAGGGGCCTGGGCTCCTCGGGGCTCTGTAGGCCCAGCACCTAGTAACGGCACCTTCATGCTCCGCGATGCCTCATCTAGCGAATGGGAAACGCGCCGCCGCCACCACCTAGAAGGCTAGTTTCCTCCGACCAACACCAAGGTTATCAAGGTGGTGTTGAGCGCCACGTCCTCGTAGTGAGTCCTGATGAACACCAATTACTCAAAAGCTCTAAAATGCCACAGAAAAGGTTTCTGTTTAAAAATCCAACCCAAATATAATCAACTCTGCAATATCAAGGAGGAAAATAAATTCCCGTTGTTAGAAGTTCTTTTCCTGAGTTGTTTTTTTTTTTTTTTTGAGAGCCATGTTAATCTTTTTATGTGATGTTTTAAGGTAAAAAATGGCTAAAGTGTATATGCACTTCGCCAAGCGGGATTCTTTGATAGGAATCGATTGAAACCAGGGCAGCTGTTCTGTGGACTTTAAAACTCGAAGCTTCTTAAGCACCTACACTCAGAAGGGGAGAAGAGCCCGACAACTTTAAGTTCCTCCTCTGGGCTACAGCAACCAATGTTTGGTTAAATTAAGAAATTTGAGTCTTTAACTTCCTTCTTTTCTGTTCACATGCTCTGGACTAGAGAAAGAATTATCAAGGCTTTAAAAGACCAAATTCCAAAAAAGAAAGGACAATAAGGAAACTAGATAAGTTAACTCTTCGGCAAGCACACATTGACCGGCGACGCGGAAGCAGTCGGAATTAAAAGCAGCTTGCCCAGTGAGGACCTCAAATCCAGTTTTCTAGATTCTTTGCCTCCAGAGCCTCTTGTGCCTCCCCCCATCTGAGCACATCATGTGTTCACTGAAACTCTCTCTGCGTCTTTCTCATTAGACAAACTACATTTCTCTAGGATCGGGAGCATGCTGGCTCAAGCCTCCAGTGTGAACTCATTTAATACCTGGTGTCGAGCACAAGTTCTTGAGGCAAGGTAGGCAACACATAAACAACCCTGAACTGCGAAAATACAAAGGCAAAATTGACATTGTGTGGCATTCTTGCAGAGGTACAAGGCACAAAGGTGTAGTAAGCCTACGAGCCCTTACCTGAAGGGGTAGACTTTTAATAACGACAAAAATAAGTGCCTAATGGAAATATAAAAAGTAAACAAATTGGGCAGCCCGGGTGGCTCGGCGGTTTAGCGCCACCTCTGGCCCAGGGCATGATCCTGGAGACCCAGGATCGAGTCCCACATCGGACTCCCTGCATGGAGCCTGCTTCTCCCTCTGCCTGTGTCTCTGTCTCCCATGAATAAATAAATAAACTCTTTTTTTTTTAAAGTAAACAAACAAATGCCTAAGTAAAGGTGGGGGTGGGGTGGGGAAGAACTAGAAGACTTTTCAGCAAAAGAGTCCCGTTTACCCAGTTCACCCCAAAGGCAGAAAGTGGAGTTGAGAAAGAGAAGCCACATCGGACTACCTCTCCACCTTGAAAGATCCTTTTGAGCTCCCAGTCCATGACGTGTCCATCCCCAAAGCATAAGGGAAGCTCGGACTTAAAACAGTCACCACCAGAGAAATTAAAAGGGAAGAAGAGGGATGGGGAGCAGCACACGCGTACACACAAAATTCCTTAGTGCGAAACGCTAGACGTTCACCCTGTTCCAAGATTCTCCTTCCTAGGAAGTCTGGCCTTCCACTGACGGAGCAGGTCGTTCAGACCCTGACTTTCGGAGTCGGGCTCCCTCTTGGAGCAAGGTTTGCGTGAGATAACCACGTGTGTTTACAGAGCCACCCTTACGCGTCATCTGGTTCATGCAGAGCACGGCGAGAGCTCCTCCATCCGAATGGGTGGCCTGTGTTTCAAATTGATGGGCGCTCGGAGACCAGACGGGGGCCTGTTCAGGGGTTCTCAGCACTGGCAGCACACGAGAATCACCCGGGGAGCTTTTAAAAAAAATACTAGAGCAGAGTCTCAACCCAGACCAATTAAATCAGAATGGCTAGGTGTGAGGTCTGGGCGTTGGTTTCTTTTTTTTCTTTCCTTTTCCTTCCCTTTCTTTTCTTTTCCTTTCTTTCTTTCATTTTATTTTTCTTTCTTTCTTTCTTTCATTTTAAAGCTCCATAAAGAATTACTATTAATTTTTCCCACCAGCATGGTAAAAGTGGTTATGTTTTTTTAAAAAAAGTCTTTATTAGAGATAAAAGATTTGCCTTAAAATGGTCCATTGGGAGTGGTAGCTCTGATTATACAAGATTGACAAAATGTCGATAATTGCTGAAGCTGGGTAACGGACACACGGGACTCGACTACATTGTCCATTCTCATATTTGAAGATTTCTAGAAGTTCTTTTATAAAATTTGTTCCTTCTCCCCCAAGTATATAAATGTGTGTAATGTATTTAATACAAAAATATTTCTTAAAAGCATTAAAATAAAAACTCAGCAAGTGACTCTAACGTACAACCGGAGCCGAGAACCACAAGGCTACATCATTGAAGGGGGCAAGCCACATTTGGAAAATGAAGATTTAAACAAACAGCAAGAGGCAATCCAGGTGAGAGAGATCAACTCAGGCTCAGCCAGATGGATCCCAAGGAGGGTGGCAGGCTTCCTCTAGTGAATCACCATCTCCAATTTGTGCTATGCATATATTTGCCTGAATTTTGAGAATCTTTATTCACAAGTAAACTGTAAATACACACACACATGTGTATTTATATATATCTGGGTGTGTACATGATTTAAGACGGAACTACCAATTATATTCAGTAGCATGTAATTTTTTTTTTTTTAAAGACACTATTTGTGGAAACACTGCTCATGACCTAAAATGCTTTGGCCTGTGAAACGGTCACCCAGAAAGGCACTTCTGAGGAGGAGCAGGTCGCAGGAGCGAGGAGAGGGGGCAGCCTCTGGAGCCTGCAAGCCCTGCATCTACTTAAGTGGGTTAGGGGCCGCGCTGCCTACATGACTTGAGGAAACCCTTACATCAGGGGCTACTTGTGGGAAGAGCCAAGAAAAAAAAAATCCAAGTCTCTGAGATCAGAGGATACATCAAAACGACCCTCATCCCACCCTCAAAATCCCCAACTCACCTATTCTTCTCCATTTCATTGTGAGTTGATCTGAAAGAAGGAAAATAAGAAAAGAGTAAGATTCTTCTGGTCTTAAAGGACTATTTCAGCACCAAATACAATTATTTTGACTTCTTTCTCTCCAAAGCTGGTAAAGAGAAAACAGAAAAAGGAGGAAAACTCGGCGGCTCTGCTAAAGAAATGAGCCCCTCTGAGGAGTTAGATAAACGTAAATATCTAAGAGTCCAAGGAGAAGTGACAAACTTAAGAGGCACGCAACCCCTGGTGGAAATGTAATCCATTTTAAGAAAGGAAATAAAAGGGGTCTATTTATACAAAGAGAAAAACAGCTGCGCAATGTGATGTGAATTCGGGTTAGAGAACACCAGAGCCTCCTCCGGGCTGGGGGCAGAGCAGCGGAGGTGCCAGGCCTCCAGTTTTTTTCTACGTGTAGTGTATACGCCAAAATTTTATGTTAAGTTATTTAACAACAGGATACGATTTTAAGTGGGTAAAAATAATCCCTCTTCCCTCAGTCTTTCTACTCTGTGATGCCATTATTTGATCACGTACAAGCTCCTGAAAAACGCTGCTGGTGAATAGCTACCAAATGATTTCCAGAAGGGGCCTCTAAAACTCCGCTCCACGTAAAGAGGATCACACGGGTCAAGGCCACAGGTGGGTGCAGTGTGAAGTCTAGCCTCGCACTGACTGGCACTGGAGAAGAAACACAGTTCTTTACCTTCGCGTCCTCGGTTAACCCTTCTGTAAAATGGGAGTAAAAATGATCGTCCATTATCTACTGAACACACGCAGATCAATGAGGAAGCAGCTGTAAACGTGATTAGAGAGCCCTGGACGAAAGCTGCGGGAGGCGGGAAGTCCTGTTATTAAGGGGTTTATAGCCGACCTTGAATTATAAGGTCTGGCCTAAGAATTTGTGGACAGGTTTTCACAGAAGTCACAGGAAGCCCGTCAATGTGGCCAATTCAGTGTCCTCCTCACACAACTCCTCCCTAATTATAAATTTGAGGAATCTCCCTCAAGTCTCGACCTTTCTTAATGGACATTCTCTGGAATCTAACCAGTTTGGGAGAGGACACCCTGGCTCAGATCATGAATTCTATGTGGCCACAGTCAGAACCTTTCTGGACCTACAGAGAAATTCTCATGGAGAAACGGGACCTCTGTGAATGCTCAGCCACTCGTTCCTATCAGGGGCAACCACCCGCGAGCTCATTCACACCAGAGAAGGGCGGGGGGGGGGGGGGAGGGGGGAGGCGTGTGGCTTTATAGTCTTGGAATGAGAAATTTCCAGTCCAGCAATAAAACTTCTCTTCCACAACATCAATTTGTGGGACGTCAATTTTTGTTAGCCAGGAAAAAAAAATAAACATTAAAAAAAAATCAAGAAAATAATGGCAGTATTTGAAGTTTTAGAATATTGGTTTTCTAGATAGAGGACCTCAAAATTGGTTACCTTACAGGCTCTACATTGATTCACTTGGTTTTTCCCTCAGCCTTGTTCAGTTACATTTTTCTGAAGGTTCGCTTCCTGCCGCGGCCAGCAGGATAGCGCAGTGGACAACAGTCAGGCCAGCACTGTAAACCTTTGGCTTTAAAGCACGTGGCATTTTAGTTTTACCAGGGAACAACAAGTTCAAAGTCTGACAGGTTTTTTAAATGGATAAAAGTATATGATAGCAGCTGGTCAGGATTTCCCTGCTTAACTGCAGGCCAGGACCCTCCCAGGAACGGGGTGGAGGAGAGACGGGTGGATATTTGAAAAGAATAGAATCTCTGATTACAGCCAATAGCACACAGGGCACTCTTACCCAAAATTTCTAGGTTCCTTGAAGGTATATATATAAGAAAAGTTAAACTTTTAAACAAATCCATAGGAAGGACAACTCTTTCCAAACTTTGAACAGTTTTGGAAACTCCAGATCGTATTTGCTTCCTTAAGAGTATCCAACACATTGTGATCTGTACAAGGGGACGTACATCTAACGGCTAAAGCATTACTGAGGTGCACCTGGGGGACTGAACAGTTTGTCGTTAACGAAAGTAAGCCTTTCAAGAACGATCCTGTTCAGAGACTGCCAGCTCTGTTAATGGGTAAAGACTTCTATTTTTAATTAAAGCATAAGAATACACAGGTACCTTGTGTCAAAAGTATTTTCCATGTGGTTACTGGAAGATTCGATGACTCTGGAATCGCTGGTAAAGGTCAAATGTCACCATTTAAAAAAATATATCCTAACAAGGGGCACCTGGGTGGCTCGGTCGGGTAAGCGTCGGACTCTTGATCTCAGTTTAGGGCTTGATCTCAGGGCCATGAGTTCAAGCCCCGCACCGAGTTCCCTGCTGGGCACAAAGCCTACTTTAAAAAAAAAAAAGAATATCTGTATATTCATTCTCACAAAAAGATGACTAAGCCAAACTACAGAATGTAGGAGAATGGGGAAAGTTGTTGGGTTTAAAAAGACTCTCCTTGTCAGCTCAGCTGAATAACCACTGTTACATTCAAGAGCTAGCTGGCGGGTCCTGAACTTCCTCTTTCACGAGGGCCAAAACCTGCTTTACAATTTAGCAAAATATACCTTTAAAAACTCTGGATTTCAATTCTAAATTATTAGTAACTGATTTAAAAAGTCATTAGGGGAAAAAAAAAAAAAGATTCCTCTTCCCTGTATTCCAGTAGCTCTCTGGATGATTCTGAAACAATCAATATTCACGATTTCATTTTTGTTTTGTTTTGTTTTTTTTTTTTAAACAAGCAACTAGAGGAATTGGATTAAGATCTGCATTTTTAGTTCCCAAGAAGCTGGGATATGTGGCTAATTTTTTTTTTTTTAAATTGTCCAAGGAAAAGTAGCCTCCGACTCTACAAGCAAAGAGCACAGCGTTTCAACCTGAATTAAGAATAAACTGTTATCTGGCGGTTATGTAAAGCGGCAGTAATCTCTCCATCGGCCTTACCTCAGCTCAGAACCCTGCCCATATGTGGTCTTGGAGAGGAGTCTAATTCAAATCAAGGGTGGGGGGCAAACTGCGTTCTCTGGGGAGACAGCTCACGGCTCAGGTAAGGGTCATTCCCAACAGGGCATGAAGGAAGTGATCACAGTAAAACAAAACAACCTGCTCTTGCTTCACGTTTGCCTGGTGCCATCTCCAGGCTTAATCGCGGCCTCTCGGAGATCCGGCACCACGCAGGTACTACACTAATTCATTATTAGTCAGGAATATGGGAAACTGTGACAGCCTCTGGTCTGTAACCGTGGAAAGCACACCAAGCCCATTAACAGGAGAGAGCTCTTCCCAGACTCAGAAGTCACAGCTATTTTCTCGGTAATAACGCTGGATACTAAAGAGAATCTGTTTCGTGGCTTGCGATTCTCAGCTATCATTATTTTTCTTTCCTAATCACCTTCGGGGACCAGCCTACTTCTCTCTCTCAACACTCCTTGCTCTTCCTCTCCCCACCACTGAACCTCCCCCGACTTTCCTGCGAAACTTAGGATTAAGCCTTGACGAGTACGGTGGACAATTCCTCCTAAACCATAAACGGACAAGAATAAAAGCAACAATTGGGCTACCTTCTCAGGAAAAAATACGCCAACAAGCTTCAAAATTCTTCCAAAAATTAAAAAAAAAAAAAAAGACTAACAAGATGCAACACAGCTAAATTGTTTTATGGCACTGCAGGACACAAGTCAGGGCTAACATTCTTACAGGCCCTAATACCCACACACGGATCTATTCGCTACCACTTTCAGGTAACGCGGAAGATGGGAGGGAAAGAGAAAACCGTGGGGTGGTTAATTACCAGGTTCATCCCTCACGTGCCTTCCTTCCTCGGCAAGAGCCCAGCACATGGGTGCTGCTCACATCCTGTGGTTCTAGCAACACTAAGGACAATGGGATGAATCAAGGACAACAGCAGCAGCAGCAAGAACAAGTGGGTTTAGGTTTAAGTGGGACCTCCTGGCTTTTAGTGGTGTGTGTGACGTCACAGGGGGTAACCAAATACAGTTACCTGCAGGGAGTTATACATGATGGCGGGAGAGGAATGAGGATTGTAAGCCAGTGATGAAAATGTGAGTGGCTTTAATTTACTGGAATGAAAGGTATAAGTAAAGAGACCTAACAGGTTTCCTAGCTAACTTATATTTTAAGGGCAAAGAGGGGAAAAAAGGGGGTAGGTTTATAGAGTACTCATAGGTACTCAGGGTTTTTATTTGATTTCACGGACCCTTAACCATCTGCTTTCCAGTGAGATTCACAGGTTTTAAAAATTATAAGCCAAACGTAAAAGGATCGTGGCATATTAATATTTTAATATTAATCCTCCATCACCAAAAGGCAGGTTCCAACCTCAATCATTCCTCTTTGCCATTATAAGTAGATGTAACAGAGGAGATAAACCATTGCATTTAATTGCATTTAATTTACATGTCGAATATGAAGTCCTACCCCTTAGGCTAAATCAGATACTTTAACGTGTCTGTACAATCTTCACTATGAAAAGTAAAAGAAATGGATAACGTCCAGCCTCTTTGATTATTAAAAAAAAAAAAAAAAAAAGCTTGCCTGAATCTGCAACTTCTGTAGGCAAAATATTGTCACGGTCACCAATCTCACTGGAAGTTTCCACAGATTTTTTTTTTTTGTTGTTGTTGTCGTTGTTCCAAAAGGGAAGAAAAGCAAAAATTAAGTTTGAAAAGTTCATAAAGAAGCCGCAAAGCTTTTCCATGTCTCTTTTCTGTCCCCTCAACCCAAACAGAAGGGCTGCTTCCTCCAGTGGCTTAGGACCATGTGCGCCTTCCTGAATCCTGATCGCCACTTAACGCATTTTCCTGGGTCGTAATCACCACAGGCCACTTCCATTCTGCAGTTTGTATCGTGATCCGAGAGAGAAAGAGAAAGATTCACCAAATTACCTGCTGCTGCTGTTATTCTTCTTGGATTTGCTCCTCCGTTTTAAGGCATCTCTGTCCTTGTTACTGTACGGTAACATGGAGGCATAACCATGTTCAGCTTCTAGAAGACCGGAGGACCCAGTTAATGAATGAGCCTGGAACCTTCAACACTCCCCCCCCCCCGCCCCCTGCACAGGAGCTCCTTTGTAGACCTTATTTTTCATCACGAGCATGTTGTGTCAAGAAATAAGCGATGCAAGGTGGAATTCTTAGAACAAGGATTTCTTTCTTTCTTTCTTTCTTTTTTTTTAAACTCCTCCCTTAAATTGTGTGAGCACCCTCAGTCCGGAGCAGGTGCAAGGAGCGAGCGAGCTGCTCATTGTTGAGGCTCAGCTCGCGGAGCCCGGGCTGCCCGCTGGGGACGTCCCGCAGGTTGGTGCGCCCTGCGCGGGGCAGCACCCCGGGCACCCCGAGCACCCTGAGCACCCCGGGCACCCCGTGCACCCTGAGCACCCGGAGCATCCCGTGCACCCCGAGCACCCAGCGCACCCCCCGCCCCGAGCGGCCTCCCCTCGCACCGCGCGTGGGGCAGCCGGAGGGTTGGAGGCGCTCGCGGTCGCGCCCTCCGCCCCCCCAGCGGCCGTGCCCCGCAGAGCCCCCGGCCCCGGCCCCGGCCCCGGCCCCGGCTCGGCGCGGACCCCCGGCCCCGTGCACCTCTCTCCCGCCGCTCCAGGTAGTCGGCCGCCTCCAGCAGCATCTGGATGTTCATCCGAACCGCCGCCGCCATTCTGCACCGGGGGCCGCGGCCGCGGGACCAACCCCCACCGCCACGGGCTCGCCGCCGCCGCCGGGCCCCGCGGAGCAGGGCGGGGAGAGCCTGTCGGGCGACCGCGCTCGCCGGGAGGGAGGGGCCCGGGGCGCTGGGCGCCGCCGACACCGTGACAGCAGCCGGGGAAGAGCCGCCGCCGCCACCGCCGCCGAGTGTTTATCTCCGACTCACCATCCCCCCGCCCCCAGGCCCTGCTCTTGACAGGCCCGCTCCGGCCGCGCTCCCCATTGGGCGCCCGGAAGAAAGCCCCGCCCCCGGCCTTGTCCGATTGGGGGGACGCGCCGCGGCCCCGCCCCCTGGGGTCCGCTCCTCTCTCTGGTTGGTCACGCTTGACAAGGCCCGGGCTCCGCCCCCTCCTCCCAATTGGCGGCCGGGTTCGCAACTCCGCCTCGTGCTCCTTGCCCGCTGCCCATTGGCCCTACGCCGACGGCCCCGCTCTGCCTTGCCGCTATTGGCCGGAGCGGCGGGCAGCGAGCCGCCTTGCCGGCCTCCCATTGGCGGAGCCGCCGAGACCGCCCAGCCCCGGTGACGTCACCTCGCCGGCCCGGCGGACCCGGGAGGCGGCTGAGCGGCTGAGCTCCCGAGCTCCCCGGGCCGCGCCGGCTGCGGGGCTGCCCCGGGCGCGGCGCTGACTCACCGGCCGCCGCCGACCTGGGCGCCGCCGCGCATCCCCCGCAGCGAGGGCGCCGGCGGCCTGGAGGGGCCGGGCCCCCGCGGGCGCCACGTGGCTCGCGTTCCGCGCTCGCCGCCCCCGCCCCCGCCCGCCCCGCCCCGGGGCGCCCCGGGCGCCCTGCACCTGCGGGAGGACCCGCGTCCTATCACGACGTTCTTTGACCTCAGTCTCGTTCAGGGTCTTTCCTTCCCTTTTAATTCTCGATGAAAACGTTTAAGAAAAAAAAAAATGCTTCCTCTGCTCAAGACTATGGATGGGGTTTGTGGGGGGGGGGGGCGGTGCCAACAGAAATATATGGAACTAAAAAAATTAAGGATTATTCCCTAAGCGTATCAAGATTTTTGAGCGGAGAGCCGTCTGGAGGCCCGAGTTACTCTGTTAATATACTGACATCTGCATTTTAAAAAGGAAGAATAAATGTCTTGGTCAGCTTGGACAGATTCCATACAGCTTTAAAAAAAAAAGTTTACTGTTGCCAATACATGAAAATAAGAGCTTTACTGTTTCACGTGCATTATCACTAGTCCTCAGTGCAACCCCATTAGGTAGGTTAACTATCTACATTTTGCATACAAAGAAACGGACCCAGAGACGCTAAATGACTTTGCTTGTCATCCATTTAGCCAGAGATGGAGACTGAACCCAGATGTGTTTCGCCTGGAACCATGTAAACACTTGCTTTCAACAGGAGTTAAAAAATAGATTTCCAAAAAAGAAAGAAAAAGAAAAAAGAAAAAAAAAAAAAAAAGAAAAAAGAAAAAAGAAAAAGAAAAAGAGAGATTTCCAGACTGAGTCACAAACACTGATCCCCAAACACTGGGGGGAAGGAGAAGAAAAACATGTAAATGTAATCATGATGGGAATTTTTTTAACATGTCCTTTTTAATGGTTGACAAATTCATTAAAATTAAATAAAGTCAACAGAACTAACAACTAGGATAAACGTTATAAAGCATGCCTGGCGTATAGGGAACATTTCCTGGTTTTGATGGTAAACTGAATAAAAGCTTATTCTTTATGAAAGCTAATACACTCAGGATAAAGGTTTTCAAGAAAGTACAAAGAGAAATGAGAATGGGGATATAACATTTTTAACGAGTATTTTTTAATTGCAAGTTGTTTATAAAACAAATTTGAAAGTCAATGAAATGAATTCTACTAAAGTACTAAAACTAACAGTAAAAACACTGACTTCCTTATCTTAAATTTGGATTTTATATACTTTTATATTTTCTCTGCGTTTTATCATAAACATTCAGCATATTTCTTTATTCTTTCTCTTATCCTTAATTTTCTTTCAGCCCAGTCTTATTTCAATACCATGATCCTTCTCCTTGAATCAATGTGATTGAAAACCACACAGAAGAAGGAAAAAAGGTTGAAATCTGAGTCAGAAATAGCAAATTAATGATTTAAACACCAACAGGTTTATCTTTAAAAACATTTCTTAAAAACATTTTATTCTTAATTTTTACACCTAACATGGGACTTGAACTTACAACCCCAAGATCAAGAGTTTCATGCTTTTCTGATTGAGCCAGCTATATACCCACCAACAGGTTTATCTTAAACCATGGACAAAAATACTAGGTTGTATAACAATCACAGAATTAGATGAAAGAAGGGACTCTTTCTATTTCCTGGCAGTGGTGGAAGAAATTATCAAATAGCCAGGAACACCAAGTAGGAATTAGTATCATGAATTTCAAAGGGTATTTGGTGCCATCTACTGGACATCAAGTAGTATAGAACAAAGATTTTGTTTTGTTTTTCTAGAGATTATTTTACACAAATGTACACAATGTCTAGTGAAGATAACCTAAAAGTATAGGTTTTGAAGAAAAGTGGAAATCCTAAAACAAGGTATAAGTGGTGACCCCTAGCACCTTGTGCCTCAAAGGCATTATAAAAGGATTGACCACTAGGCACAAACCCAAAAACAAAAGTTGGAAATTCCAGAATGTTTGAAATTGTTTTGTGACCAGAATTTTAAATAAAAAGTTATGCATGAACATGGATTGTCCAACAATCATTCACATTTTCAAACAGACATCAAGATAAACTAGTAGAATTGGGAAGGAGAAAGAAAATGCTGAAAATGGGGATGCATAAACACAGTAGATACTATACTTGCTAGATAATTTTTTACTGCGTCTTTCAGAAGGCTAAGACCCAGCCTCTTTCCTGTGAGGGGCTTATGTCCAAGAGGCATAGGATAGTGGGTAGATTCCAGTGCCAAGTCGCAGGGTCATTAAATGCTATGGGAACTGTGACGTGGAGAGGCCTCTTCAGTGAATCCCTCAGAGCGGCAGAAAGACTACTGTTGTATCCTTAAACGTCTAAAAAGTTCCAAAATTGTGGGAATTAAAAAATTATTTGTAGCTGAATTGACATCTAACTGCTATGACATTAAAATGTATTTTGCTCTTACATGTCTGAGGTGTGGATTTCATTCTTTAAAGTGTAAAAAGGACTGAAATTTGCTACTTCCATGTTAATCCCTTTCTTTGTGGCTACTTTGGATGCTCCAATATCCTATTATTGGATGATCTAGTATCATGATCTTAAGCTCTAAAAACCTTTAAAAATGCTGCTTTCCAAAAATTAGCTACTCCATGAATATTTGTGATTTTAAAAACAGAGCAATAGCTAAACAGTGGTAGTACATTCCACAAAATACTTATGGTAGCAGTTAAAAAAAAGTAGAGGTATATATATTGGCATGGAAAGATCTCCAAGGCAGTGTTAAATAAGCTGTAAAATGTTCCTATAGCGTATAATTTATGTAAAAAAAAAAAAAGCCCAAACGAAGTACTTTCCTCATTTGCAATGTTACACAGGTCCATAGACAGAGGTCTGGAAGGATACACTGCAAAGGCTTCACAGTGAAGAAGGGGCAATAGGACCAGGACGGTCGGTACTATACAAAAGGGGTCTAGCTGTGTCATGTTTTAAAATTTTTATGGGAGAAATGTGTCCATTTATTACGTGGTTAACTAAAGGTTAACATAAGGATCAAAGGAAGTGGTTGGGGCACCTGGGTCCCTCAGTTGGTTAAGCACCTGCCTTCAGCTCAGGTCATGATCCTGAGTCCTAGGGCCAAGCCCCGCGTTGAGCTCCCTGCTCATGCCATCTCTTGTCTCTCAAATAAAGAAATCTTTTGTAAAAATCAAAAGAGAAAAAGATCAAGAAAACAAAGGTCACCGAACTATTTTCATGGGTTGAGCAGGTGTTTAATGGGTGCTTTACTCTGTGCCAGTCACTGCGTGGGGCTGGGGCTCCAGCAGCGGGGGACGGAAGCCCGAATCTCAGGGCTGGATGCCTAGCGTCAGATCCAGACGGGAATACCTGAGTACAGCGCGGCAGGCAGCGGGAACTGCCCTTAGGACAAGGAGACTGCAGAGCACATGAAGAACCTGGAAGCCTCCTGTATGCCAGTGGGAACATGCAACAGTACAGCTACTCTTGAAAACAGTTGACAGGGCCTCAAAAAGTCAAACAGTATAGGACCCAGCAATTCCATTCCTATTCATATACCCAAGAGAACAAAAAATATGTTCATACAAAAACTTGACTACTTACGTTCATAGCGTCATTATTTATAAAACCCAAAAAGTGAAATGCAAATGCCTATCAACTGATGAATTATAAAAATGTGATATTCACAGAATATTAATTGACCAAAAAAAGGAATGAAGTACTGACACATGCTATAATTTGAACAAACTTCGAAAACATGAATGTTAAGTGAAAGAAACCAGATATAAAAGGCCATATATTGTATGATTCCCTTTATATAAAACATCCACAATTAGCCACATCTTTAGAAACAAAATGTACATTAGTGATTTCAGGGGTGGGGAATGAGGGTGGCAGGGAAGGTTATGGAGTACTCTTGATGGGGTCTTTTTGGAGTGATGACAGTTTTTTGGAATTAGTGGTGATACGTAACTGAATATACTAAAACTCACTGAAATGGTACCACTGTGAAAAGGTGAATTTCGTGCTGTGTGAACTTTATCTCAATTTTTTAAATAAAATAAGTAAGGGTAAAGGGATACAGAGGGAAGTGGGGTTGCCCTTTAGGATAGGCTGGTCAAGATTGACCTTCTTTTGGGCAGAGACGTAAAGCTACCCATGCAAATCGGGGTAGAGGTGGGGGAGCAAGAGCAAGTGGGAGACTTTTGAGGTAGATTCACACGTGTTCTCAAGGAACAGCAAGGCCAAGGGCAGAAGCCATGGTTCAGACTATACAGGCTTGGGCACTAAGGTAAGGGCGGGACTTCATTCTATTTTTAAAAAATATTTATTTTAAATGGGAGAGCGCGAGAGCACGTGCTCAGTGTGTGTGTGTGTGTGGGGGGAGGCAGAGGGGAGGAGAGAATCCCAAGCAGACTCTACGCTGGGTGTGGAGCCCGATGCTGGACTCCCATCTCACGACACTGAGATCATGACCTGCGCCAAAATCAAGAATCATCGGTCCGCACCACCCAGGTACCCCAACGCTGGACTTTCTTCATATACTCCGAGGTTGGAGCCAAAAGGTTTGCTCATGAACATGGGGTATGAGGGAGAGGAGTCAAGGATGACCCTAAGGATTCGGTCTGAGCCAGGGGTGAGGATGGGCCACTTACTGAGACGGGGAAGCCGCCGGGAAGGCTGGGCAGCAGAGGACAACTCCGCTAAACCGAGCTCTGAGGGGTCTATTCCTCTGGGCATATCACTGCACGACTGCACAAGCCTGCAATTCAGTCAAAGGGCCAGGCTGGAAGTACAAATTGGAGAGCCACAGAAGACGTTTGAAGCCACACTGAGGACTCAAAAAGGGAGACAACGGAGAGTTCAAGAATTGAGCCTCAGAGTACCCGAACATTTAAATACTTAAAAACAGAAGACACGGCACAATTTATGTCTGACAAGCAGCAGCTTATTAGAGGAAGAGAAAGATGCTCCATCCATGTTTGGTATTTGCACAGAATCAAATGATCTGGTGGAGAAGTTATTTTGAACTAGAACTTCCTAGAGTGCCTGAGGGGCTCAGTTGGGTCAGCACCCGACCCTGGACTTCGGCTCAGGTTATGATCTCAGGATCGTCAGGATGAGCCACGTCAGGCTCCACACTCAGTGCAGTCTGCTTGTCCCTGTCCCTCTGCTTCTCCCTCCTGCTCATGCTCTTTCTCCCTCTTAAAATAAGTAAAAAATCTTAAACGAAAACAAGACTTCCCTTAGGATCACAGGTGTCTTACCTCTGGCTTTTCGGATGTCTTCCTCTTCCACTTCTTGGTGTTAGCTATCGGCCTATGAGGTATTCTCAATTTACTTCTTTACAAACTATGCTGCTATGAGGATCTGGAGTCAAATCTCTATTACCTCACAAAGAAGACAATCCAAAAGTCTGTAATTTGGCTTTAGTATATATTATTTTCTCTCAGAAGTTTTAACTTCCTTATCAAAACCAGTTTGGTCTGCCTTCCTTAAGTGTGCACAAATGTGGTCAGAAATAATCCTTATTGTGGATAATTCAGAGATACGCAGTATTTTGGTAAGTAGGGGTATAGGAGGAATTATTTAGCTTGGTTGGCAAAAACTCCAAGCAAAATAACCACCTGGAGGTAGTGACACTGGTGCAATACAAGTTGAACAACTAAGGTAGCATAAGTACCAGTATTTTCTGCTTTTATGGTCTGAAGGCTCAGCTGTCTCATCTGGGAAATGGAGATAATAGCACTTGCTGTCTCATAAGGACTAACTAAACCAAGGTGTTCTGTACGCGATTATGCAATGCATTCACATTACTATTATTTTCTTTATAGGAAATGAACTTGACAGGAAAGTTTTGAAAAAACTACAATAGGTAGTCAAGTTTCAGATGCAGTAAGGATTTAAAATCCAGCTAAAAATGCTTGTAAAAACATCTGTATCTAAGGATAGTAATTCTAGAATTCTTTTTTTAAAGTAACCTCTACAGCCACCAAGAGGCTGCAACTCAACCCAGAGATCAAGAGTCACATGCTCCACCAAATGAGCCAGCAAGGAGCCGCAGAATTTTAAAAAATAGCGAAAGACTTAGAAAACAACAGGGGCAGCCCAGGTGGCTCAGCGGTTTGGTGCCGCCTTCAGCCCAGGGCATGATCCTGGAGACCTGGGGTCGAGTCCCACGTCAGGCTCCCTGCGTGGAGCCTGCTTCTCCCTCTGCCTGGGTCTCTGCCTCTCTCTCTCTCATAAATAAATAAATAAAATAAATAAAATCTTTTAAAAATTAAAAAAAAAAATTAAAAAGAAAAGAAAAACAACAACGTGAGTGCTCATCAATGGGGACTATTAAACTACAGTCCATCCTATAACACTCTGTAACTGCTGCCCTTAAATAGAGGCCATATTACATGTACTGAAAAGAAACAATCTTGGGGCACCTGGGTCGATCAGGTTGCTGGTTAAGCATCTGACTGTTGCTATCAGCCTAGGTCTTGATCTCAGGATTGTGAGTTCAAGCCCCACGTTGGGCTCTACACTAGGTGTGAAGCCTACTTAAAAAATTTTAAGATGTATGAGTAAGTAAAAAAAGGGATAAGTGTAGAATAATGTGTAGAGCCTGCTTACATGTGAATAATAAAGTAAAATATGTACACATATGTTTGTAGATATATGGAATATCTCTGAAAGGATGCACAGTAGCTCTTCACTATATACCCTTTGTTCTGTCTGCATTGTGTTCCATGTGTTTGTCTTACTCAAAAATTAAGTAAAATAAAAGCTAATCACAGAGCTTCAAATATCAGCAAAGGGTACTGGTTGTTATCTTCAACATAAAAAGGACTTCTGTCACCTAAGAAAAAAAAAAGCTTGCATTTCACACATACCAAAAAATATGGCTAACACATTTCTTAAATGTTCATCCTCCTTAGAACTGAACAAATTGGGGATCCCTGGGTGGCTCAGCGGTTTGGCGCCTGCCTTTAGCCCAGGGCACGATCCTGGAGTCCCGGGATCGAGTCCCACGTCGGGCTCCTGGCATGGAGCCTGCTTCTCCCTCCTCCTGTGTCTCTGCCTCTCTCTCTCTCTGTCTATCACAAATGAATGAATGAATGAATGAATGAATCAATCAATCAATAAATAAATATTTTAAAAAAATCGTAAAAGAACTGAACAAATTAAAACCAAATATTAATTTACCTACCAGATTGGAAATTTCAAAAATTATTAATATTATTTTTAAAGATTTTACTTATTCATGAGACAGAGGCAGAGGAAGAAGCAGGCTCTCTCAAGGAGCCTGATGCAGGACTTGATTCCAGGACCCCAGGATCACGGCCTGAGCTAACGGCAGACGCTCAACCACTGAGCCCCCCAGGTGCCCTAAAAAATATTATTAAGGCTGATATTGGTGTACATGTATGAAATCGGAATGCTCACACTTTACTGGTGAGTTGTTACCTTTCTAGCCATACACATATCAAAAGCCTTAAAATATGTATACACACTCCTTTATCTCATCCAGCAATGCCACATCTAAGAATAGAACCTGAGGAAATAATTCAACAAGTACCAAAAGATATATGTAGCAGGGATACTACTCACAGCTTTAATTAAAACAGCAAGCCATGGGAGGGAAGCCAATGTTTGCTCATAATAGATTAGTTAATAAATTATGGTACACCCAAGTAGCTAAACTTAACTAAAAGTTAAGCTTCTAAAGAACATGTAACAGTATTAAAAACTGTTCACAGAACATGGGAGAAAAAAGATTAGCAAAAGGGAACAGCCTATGAATTCTGATATAATAGGTGGGGGCAATAAATATACACCACAGGAGGCTGGAAAGACATGTAACAAAATATTGTTTCTGGGGGGTAAATTATATTTATATTTTATATAAATATAAAATAAAAGCCAAATTATATTTGGCTTTTCTTTCTACTTTTTGGTTTCTCCCAAGTTTTTCTTTCTTTCTTTTTTTTTTTTTAAAGATTTTATTTATTTATTCATGAGATACAGAGAGGCAGAGACACAGGCAGAGGGAGAAGCAGGCTACATGCAAGGAGCCTGACGTGGGACTCGATCCTAGGACCCCGGGGTCACGCCCTGAGCTGAAGGCAGATGCTCAACCACTGAGCCCCCAGACGTCCCTCTTCCAAGTTTTTATATAATAAGCATATATTGCTTTTAAAATGGAGAAAAACAATATACAGGGGAAATAATAATTGGGGGGAAAAAACCACAGAAGATAAAAAAATCCAGTTATTTATAAATTACTAATGGAATCTAAATCTATGTAGGAAAAAAAAAAAAACCTAACGTATACGGGGACAATTTTATAATAGTAACACAAATATTTATCAAATACAAAAGGGTAGAAATATTGCTTTATTTGAGAAACTTACAACCAAATTACTTTTATGTTTTAAAAAGTCCTAACAAGCATCCAAGAAGAAAACATATACAGCTTCCACAACAGTAAGAACAAAAAATGGGGCTGATGATTGCCCCAAATGATATTTCTTAAAAGAAAAAAATGCAATATTTAATCTTCTTTTTTTTTTTTGAGTCAAGGTAAGTGAACTGCACACATAAATAAAATTTTCTTACTTTACAAGGAGGGAGGACTGTGATCCTGTTTTTTATGCATATTAAATATGAAATACAAAATCCACTCTTCTGAACAAGGTAGGGGAAAAGAAAAATCATTTCAATTCTCATGCAATGAAATCCAAAGGTCTGTTGAATCCGCCTTTTCGATTCATGTACTGCCTATGATGAGAAGAGAAAACTCATTGTTTATTAAAAAAAATTTTGGACTCTTATAAATAAAAAAATAATATAAATCATCTTTAAATTGGCAAAGGTAAATACTTTTTTACTAGGGTAAAAAGTATTCATAGTTATTTAATGCACATTAAGGATATTATTTCACTCTTTCTTTCTTTCAAAGATTTAATTTATTTGTTCATGAGAATACACAGAGAGGAGGGAGGGAGGGAGGGGGAGAGAGAGGAGAGAGAGAGAGAGAGAGAGAGAGAGAGAGAGAGAGAGAGAGAGGCAGAGACACAGGCAGAGGGAGAAGGAGGCTCCATGCAGGGAGCCCGACGTGGGACTCGATCCCGGAACTCTAGGATCAGGCCCTGGGCTGAAGGCAGTGCTAAACCGCTGAGCCACCCAGGCTGCCCTACTTCACTTTCAAAATAATCTAAAAGCCTTTCAGATTTCTTTAAAATCTAAACAGAAGTATGGAAATATACTTTCAAAATTATTTGGAAAGATTCTACGGACTTAAAAAAAAAAAGTCGAAAATCCAGATTTATAGGTAACAGTAAGGAAATAGAGAAGAGCTCTAAAACAGGTACCCATCAGGTAAATCTGATTGCATGTTGTACTAGTTCTCCTCATAAGACTTTATTTGAAGATAATTTTACAAAGGACCATCAACTATGATTCTGGTCATCACCTTGAGCCACAGCATTCTTAAATCACATTACTCATATTCTAAATTAGGTGGAATATTAGTCTTATCAGTGGTAAAGGTTGAGAAAAAGGCATGTTTGAAGATGTCTCGACTTTTCAATTCATTAGGAATTCAGTGTGATTTCAGGTATGGATTGTTTTTTTCTGTGGCATTAATAAAGACTTGAGATTATGCTGTTTTATTTTTTATTTATTTATTAATTTATTTTTTGAGTTTATGCTGTTTTAAAGAACTATATGGAGCTTTAGAACATTTAAGGCAATTACCCTTCTCTGTAATAGGTATTGGTTCACATGTAGATTGGAAATTATTTTAACACACCAGAATATAAGCAAAGAATATTAAAACAAGGGACCAAATGGAAACTGCTACATTTCCTACAAACACAACTATCTCATACTTACTTTCCTAAGCACATAATTTATATCGTTAGTTCAAACATAATAATGGGGACTACACATACCTGTACTTCCTCTTCTGAGACACATTTATGGCATAGGCATTTACAGAGCCATCCACCTTTTTCCCCTGGAGAAAAGAATAAACAGATATAAAAAATGGGAAGGATATATTAAAAATGCCCGATCAAAGAGCTGAATCCTATAGACATACTTAAATGGCAAAATCTATTTAAGCATGAGGAAGCCCAATGAGAGGATTTTCAGATCCTGATGATAGTCAATGAACTCCCAAGCAATACAGCTCTGTTCATATTTTTACAGTCATACATAATTTAACATATTCAAATATTCAAGCCAACAAACAATCACGGTGTATATATTTATGTGCGAGGCATGCAGAGAAATAGGGCAGCAGACCCTAACCCTTTTTGGTCTAAGAATTCTTTGAAACCAAATACTAGTTAGTTATTTCCTCTAGAAAAATTTAACTTATGACCTTAGCTCACAGTATTCTCAAGTCACAGCTGAAACAGTCACCATTCATGGAGATCTCATTTCTTGCACAGGTTTTGAAAAATTAAAAATTTTCAAATCAAGAATCAGAATACAGGGGCACCTAGGTGGCTCAGTTAGTTGAGTGTCTGACTCTTGGTTTCAACTCAGGTCATGACCTTAGGATTGTGAGATGGAGCCCCACATGCAGCTCCATGCTCAACGGGGGATCTGCTTGGGCTTCTCTCTCCCTCTAACCCTCCCCTACCTCCTATAATAAATCTTTAAAAAACCAAGATACAGAATACCAGATGCTAATGTTAAGTGTCACTTTTATCTTAGCCTTTCTGATGTGGCATCTACCCTCTTTTTCACTAATTCCTTTCTGGGTCTTTTGATTTGTCCAAGTTAACTCATCACTTGCTGTCCTCATGTCTAAAATGCCTTCTCAACTCCCATCCAAGAACCCTACCATCTGGTTCTTATCCATCATTCAAGACTCAATTCAAGTGATCCAGCTGCCAGAAAGCACCCTCTACCCTTCCATAGAATGTTATCTGTGCTTTCCTCGTAATATCTTCCATTTTCTAACTTGCATTATCATGATGCTACTTCCCCTTACACTGAAAGCTTCTTGATGGAGGGAAATGGATATGAGTCACCTTTGTGTTCTCACATCCTAGGCCACTGAACTTGCAGGTGCTCAGAAAATGACTTAAATACATGACACCACTGATTTGTGCCATCTCTCTCTCCCATACACACACACACAGACACACACACACACACACACACACACACACACACACACACACACACGACCTCCAGCTCTCTCTCTCCCTGCCTCATTATTACCCAGGGGAGCATATCCTAACTGTAGCACACTTACTAGGTATCTGTGTTAGGGTAACAAACAAAACAAAACAAAACAAACAAACAAAAAAAACTCTTTTCCACTGCCCTAGAGGCATGCACAGGTAAGGTACATATTTGAGGTGGAGATAAATGTATTTGGGGGCACCTGGGTGGCTCAGTTGGTTAAGTGATTTCAGCTCAGGTCATGGTCTCAGGGTTGTGGGATTGAGCCCTGTGTAAGGGATCTGTGATCAGCGGAGGGTCTGTTGGAGATTCTCTCTCTCCCTCTGCCCTTCTCTCTGCTTGTGCTCTTTCTAAAAATGAATACATAAACCTTAAAAAAAATGTATTTGGCTTTACTTTTCTATTCCTATTGTCACTATATTATTGGGGTGGGGGAGAGAATACTAGGTAAATTACTTGAGGTCTATAATTCTGCTCTCCCAAGAACAGGAAGTAGGCTTGACTTGAAGATGAGCTTAGAAAAAAAGTAAATGATATTAACCATTTTATTAAGTTCAATTCCTAAAGGATTATTGGTTTTTGAAAACTATTTACATAGTTGTATATTGTTACCCTGTTTTGATTTACATACTGAAGTAGAAAATTACCCATTAATATACATAACCAAACTCTGAAACTTTCTAGAATGTGAAAATGGAAGGTAAAATAAGTGACTACATTGGCGCATGAAAAAGTACCACCATAGATCAATGATGAACTATCACAAGGTACACATTACTGAAAAGCACAAATGAGCTGAGACAATTTGTAACTGATAGCCATGAAGCCACCTGCATACAAACTAAATGAACATTCTTGTAGATATTTTTAAGAAATCAACTGACAGGGATGCCTGGGTGGCTCAGCGGTTGAGCTCCTGCCTTCAGCCCAGGGTGTGATCCTGGAATCCCGGGATCGAGTCCCACATCAGGCTCCCTGCATGGAGCCTGCCCCTCTCTCTATGTGTCTCTCATGAATAAATAAATAAAAAATCTTAAAAAAAAAAAAAAAAAAAGAGAAAGAAAGAAATCAACTGACACCATGTATCCTCATGGTACTCCTTAATTTTCAAGGGGTCTCTGAATTCTCACCTATTTTTTCCTTAAAAACAAACACTTCAGCATTGACAACATGAAAGTGAAGTATGGCTCCATTTTCACATCTGACGCTCAGAATTTTAAACTTAACATGAGGTGACAGTAAACCTACTGCCCCAGCCCAACCCCAAGAAAATAATTCTGATAGGTTCCTTCCCTAATTCTTCTGCTTTACTTTGGAGATATTTTTGTTCACCCAGTGTATATATTAATAAACCATTTCACTTATAAAATATTCTTTGGAAAAACAAATAAGGATTTGGTGTATTCAAGGAAAAAACTAATACGTAAACTGCATTAAATTCCAAAAGAGGGTATGTAACTATTTGTGAGAACAAGAACTCATAATTTTCTTACCTCAAAACAATCATGCCTCAGTATCCCTCCTCAGCTATACTCTGCCATTTTAAAAACTTGTGAGCCCTACACAATCACAACCATTAGAAAGAAACTTCTACAGCACCTGAGATTATCCCATTTCATTTACAAGTTGATGGAATACAAGATTAGGGGAAGTGGATTATTTTTGACAATCTTTATTTTTTTTAATTTTTATTTATTTATGATAGTCACAGAGAGAGAGAGAGAGAGAGAGGCAGAGACATAGGCAGAGGGAGAAGCAGGCTCCATGCACCGGGAGCCCGACGCGGGACTCGATCCCGGGTCTCCAGGATCGCGCCCTGGGCCAAAGGCAGGCGCTAAACCGCTGCGCCACCCAGGGATCCCAATTTTTGACAATCTTTAAAAAAAAACTCAATTTCCATTTACAAAATTAAATAGACTTAAAATTCTAGAGAAGAATGTTTTTAAACCATATTCTCAAAGAAAAAATACATTCTTTCCACACACACGTTTCCTCCAACTATTCTCACTAGCTTCCTCTATGCCCTCTCTCCTCTCCACATCCTCTCCACCTTCCCCCATTTCTCTACCCCATCTCCTTATCTCTTTCTACTCCCCCCATAGTCCCTCTCTTCACCTCCCTCTCCACCAACCCTCCCCCTTTTGCTTCTCCATTTCCTTATTCTCTCCAGTATTATGATCAAGGCTGGACAGCATTCACTCTCCAATATTCCCCTCTTCTGAGCTATGAGATATGCATACAGCTCCCCAATGTCATCTTTCTCTGTAGCCGAATTTCATTTTTAACAGCACTTCTCCTTCCCAGAACCCCTTTTTGGTTACCTCTATCCCCCAGTCTTTTAGCCTGTCACTCCTGAGCCATCACTGGCTATTCACTCCCACTCCTACCACCACCACCAACTCTGGCTCCTGGGTGGACTCAATATTCTGGCCTCAATTCAGGCCTTCAACTTTTACTTGCACGACCTAGCAGTTCTCCTTGCCTCCAATCTAATCTGTTGCCCAACTGTCCTCCATGTTGCCCTAGCTCATCTTTCTAAACACACGTATGATCCTACAAAAAAAAAAAAAAAAAAAACAAACATTGCTTCCTCTCAACATCTAAAGAATCAATTTTAGATTCCTTAGCATCGCTAAGAGTATCAAAAGCTTCCACAATTTGCTTTCTAGCCTCATTCATAGCTACTATCCCATCAGCATCCTCTTGCCAGTCACTGAATTTCAAACTCCTGCAATATACTATGCTCCTTTATGCCTATATGGGGTTCTCATGAGCCCTTCCCTCTATTTCAAATTATCTTCCTCCTCTTCATCACCTAGAAGATCAAACATCGGACAAACATTCCCTGAATTCGAATGGCAGCTCAGGGCTTCCTTCTCTGTGTTCTCAATGCCCTTCAAACAGATACTTAATGTTTTCTAACGGAAAAAACTTGCATGAATGGAAGAAATTACAAGCAAAACAATATGGAAAAATGTGACAGTAATAATGGATTAATTCAAATCAGAATGTTTACTTGGCTGCACATTTTACTTACTTTTGTGGAGTCAAAAGAGGCAAATCCCATTAACTTCATCATTTCTATTTCTTCCTCTGTTTTGCCCTCTAAGTCCTCCTCTGCAAAAAATAACACAAAAATAAAAACATTTTTAAAACTCTCATCATTTTATATATAGGCATCCTGCCTTCCCAAAGGTTGTGATACACCACTTTGCTTTTAGAAAAGACCAACATTAGGGGCGGCTGGGTGGCTTAGTCGGTTAGGCATCTAATTCTTGGTTTTTGGCTCTAGTCATCATCTTGCAGTTGTGGGGCCGAGCCCCATGTTGGGCTCTGCCCTCAGTGCGGAGACTGCTTCAGATTCTTTCTTCCTCTCCCTCTGCCCCTCCCTACTCATGCTCGGTCTCTCTAAAACAAATAAAATCTTTGAAAGAAAAAGACCTGTATTAGTAGTTATTTTTGCTAACCAAAAGAAATCTGAAGAGGATTTTTACTTTTAAGAAAAAGGCAATTACTGTACTAATGTAGGTCTTTCATAAAAGCAAAGTGGCTTACCACAAGCTTCCAGAAAGCATGAGATACTCTTTGCTTTATGCCATTCCAGCTTAGGAAAGATTTCACAGGAAGGCTCTACATCTGTACCCAGAGGCAGGGACAACGACATGGAATATGACCTATATCAAAAGAGAGCTGGCAATAGGTCAATAGTTATTCCACCTCAGCAGCAGAGAACACACAAAACAATTAGCTCAAGACTTGGAAACTGGAAAAAATTCCAGTGGAATTTTCTACTGGAAAAAATTCCTTTACAGTTTGGGCACAATGTAACTTACAATGCATGGAAGGAATATGCTATCCATCTGCCATCAGAAGAGACTGCTTAAAAGGACATGCGTGGAGGAAAGCTTTTGGGCAGGACAACTTTTAACACGTTATATGACACTAGTTTTGAAGGTAATTCAAAAATGGAATATTCTCAGGTTTTTAACTGTCCTTGTCAGGAGCTCCACAGATAACCAACTCACTAAGCTACAATGATAACAAAATATCAAAACCATATGCAATGAACACTATAAAAAATTTGATATTTAAGTACCTCAAAATTATAGTTTTATAATTTTATCATGACTACAAGCTATATAAGCAAGGTTGTATTTTCCTGCAGTTATTTATCTAATAACATTACCAGTAATCTGACGTTCTTTGCTTTTTGTTTCTTTTGTTTCTTTCTTTTCCTCATCTCTTCTTTCTTTGAGTCGAGAAGGGGAAGGAGATGTGGATCTATGTCGTCTTGGGGATCTAATAAGAGATCAGAAACAGAGACATAACTGATGGCTTATGCTGACTGGCAAAGACATACATGAGCTCCTAAGAGATAAAGGCTAAACAAAAGCCAGGCTTCAGAGAACCAGAAGTCCACTCTCCATAGCAGAAGAAGGAAGGAGGTTCTACCTAGACTCTTTTAACAAAAAACCAAAAATATAATTTACTGCTTTAACCATCGGTCCAATACAGCTAGAGCTAAAAAGCTTTTTTTTTTTTGGAAGTCAGCAAAAGATGTTTCTAACAAGGACACGCAAAAAAGTTGACTTAAACACCAATTATTACTTATTAAGAATCAACAATCAATCCCTAAAGTTCTTTCAAGATCTCACATTCTTGTTCATACATTTGAATAAAGCCTCATCACTAAGAAGTCAATAAAAACACAGGGGCAACCCGGCTGGCTCAGTCAGTGGAGCACCTGACTGCTGATCTCAGGATTGTGAGCCGGAGCGTCACGTTGGCTGTAAAGATGTTCCTTACAAAAATGAATTCTTTAAAAAATAACAACAACAACAACAACAACAACAACAAAAAACAAACAAAAAAAGAAAAACAAAAAAGAAAAACGAAAAAACACTTACTTCCTACGACGGACAAGCACCACGCCAGTGTTTCCTATGTATTCTACCTCATTTCCTCCTTGGGCAAGTCAATGGTATCGACAGCGTGATCAACCGCACTTTACCAATGGGAAATGTGGGTTCTAGAATAAGGTGGGCTTACGCCGTCAGGTCAGGGCAGCCGGGGGCCCAGGGCGTGACCCCGAGGTCCCGGGATCGAGTCCCGCATCGGGCTCCCCGCAGGGGCCTGCTTCTCCCGCTGCCCGTGTCTCTGCCCCTCTCTCTGGGTCTCTCAGGAATAAATAAATAAAATCTTAAGAAAACCGAACACGAAGTTAAGGGCGGCGCCTAGTTTCTCGGGGACCTGGGGGCACCTGCAGTTGGCGGCACGCACCTGGAGCGTCGTCTGTGCGGCGACCGCGAGCGGCTCCTCCGCCGGTCTCTGTCCCGGGACCGGGACCGCTCTCGGCGCCGGCGCTCTCGCTCGCGGGACGCGGACCGGGACCGCCTGCGCTCTAACACACACACAAGGTCTGTTGCGGAGGCGCCCCCGCGGCCGCGCCGCCCCGGAAACCTCCCGCCCGCCACTCCCAGAAGTGCCAGGAACGCAAGGGGCGAGTCGCCTCTCCCACTCTGCGCGATGCGGCCCGCTACGTCCCGCCGGCGTCGCCCGCCCCGTCACCCCGCGGCTGCCGTGCGGGCAGTACCCGGGGCGCCCGCAGCCGCCGCACCCACGCCGCGCGGCCGAATCCCGACTCAGCACGTGTCCAGGGCTCCCCGCCGGCGGGGGGTCGCCGCCTCTTCGGCTTTTTAAAGAAATCAGCCTTGAGTAGTCGGAGGGGGGCGGCGGGCGGAGGGAGGCGGCGGGCGGCGTCCACGTCCTGGGCTTGGGGCCGCTGCCTCCCGGATGCTGCGGGCGCGCGAGATGCCGGGACCTGAGCCCCGGGGGCAGCGTCCCAGCCGGAGGTGACCCCCGGGGCCTGACGACCCCAGCGCCCGCGCAGGAGCCCGCTGACTTGCAGACACCCAGGAACTCGGCGACCGGGCCGTGGCCCGACCCCCGCCCGACCCAACCGCAGCCCCGACCCCCGGCCCGATCTCAGGCCCGACCCCAGGCCAGACCCAGGCCCGACCGCAGCCCTGACCCGGGCCCGACCCCGGCCGACCCCAGCCTGACCGCGGCCCGACCCTGACCCGACCGCAGGCCCGACCCCAGGCCCGACCGCAGCCCTGACCCCAGCCCGACCGCAGGCCCGACCCCGGCCCCGGCCCCGGCCCGACCCCGACCGCAGCCCGACCCAGGCCCGACCCCGACCCGACCGCAGCCCGACCGCGGCCCGACCCCAGCCCCGACTCCGACCCCAGCCCCGACGGCGGCCCACAGGCGTCGCAGGTTACGGTACGAGGCCGACGGCGTCCGGAAGCTCCGCCTCTCTCGGGCCAGGAGGGCCCTTCCCTCCGCCGCGCGCGCCCTCGGGGCAGAGAAGGGGGGACACGCCTCCGCTCGAGCCCCAGCCCGGCGCTTCCCCCCGGGACTCACCCCTCCGCGGGGAGCGGCTGCGGCTGCGACCCATTCGGAACCTCCCCGCACCTCAGGCTGCCCCGGAAGCGCCTGCGCAACCACTTCCGGGAGCGCGGGGCGCCGCGCTTCCGCCGCCGACGGGCAACGCGGAGGGGCCCCGGGGGTTCCGGCCGGCGGAGGGCGCCGGCGGCGCGGCGTTGGGGGCCCCGGGCTCGGCCTCGCCCGGCCGCTGGGTCGTGGTCCCTTCCGGCTCCGCGCCCGCGGGGAGGAGGGTTGGGCGGCGTCGCTGCTCGGCCGCCGGCGTGGAGGAGGGGAGCCGGCGATCCCGGCCGCGGCGGCCCCGCTCCCCCGCGGGCTCCAGGAGCCGGCTCCAGCCGGGCCTCCCGCCCCGACGCGCCTCTCGGTTCCCCATTGCCCGTCCCGCTCCTCGTCCAGGTGCGTGAGGTCTGCAGACACAGTGGAGGCCCGGCCCGGGGGCCCTTACTGCGCGGTCGGGCGCGCGCTCACACGGTGTGCTTGCTCGTATTTACGTTTATTTATTTTTAAAGATTTTATTCATTCATTCATTCATTCGTTCATTCATTCATTCATTCGAGACCCAGAGAGAGGCAGAGAGCCAGGCGGAGGGAGAAGCAGGCTCCGTGCGGGGAGCCCGACGCGGGACTCGATCCCGGGACTCCAGGATCACGCCCTGGGCCGCGGGCAGCCGCTCCACCGCCGAGCCCCGGGGTCCCCGCCCTGTTTGTTCCTAGAGGGGGACACAGCGCATGTGCGGCGGGCTCGGGGCCCAGCCTGACGTCACCGGAGCCCAGACCTACAGGTGGATGTCACCGCCCGCCCGCCCCGCGCCGCGAGCGAACAGATTGAAGATCGGTCAGAAGAATTCCGGTGGGTTTTGGGACGCAGGGGCGACCCCGAGCTGTTTGGTGCCTGGCCCCGCAGGCGTCAGGGCAGAGCAGGAGGCCTTGGCTCGCGTGACAAGGCGCTTGGAAGGTCTGCGTCGTTCGTGCCCAGAAGGAGGGACATTTGCTACCTCTGGGAACAGTCGGCCCGGGAAGGGCGGTCTCCGCAGCGCTCCAGATGACATCAAAATAAATGAATGAATGAATGAATGAATGAATGAATGAATGAATGAATAATATTATCAAGAGTTTTCTCCTAGACGTGGATTGCACACCTACGTACCAAAGGATTAATCCCTGAAAAGGACACAGGTCTCCTCTTGAGTGGCTTGCAGTCCAGAGAGGGATACCCACAGGTACATAGTGTGGAAGCGCATTGACGGGAAGGATGCGGTGTTGTGAGGCCACAGGACAGGTCCCTAACTGGTTTTGGGGGGGGGGGAGGGGATTGTGGAGAAATTGCCAACAGGAAGTAATGTCCAAACAAGACCTTAAGAATGAGTACAAATTAGCCAGAAATGGGGTGACGACGCCTGGGCGGCTCAGTGGTTGAGCGTCTGCCTTTGGCTCAGTGCATGATCCTGGAGTCCCGGGATGGAGTCCCGCATCAGGGTCCCCGCAGGGAGCCTGCCTCTCTCTCTGCCTCTCTTCTCCGTGTCTCTCCTGGATAGATGACAATTTTAAGAAAAAAGAAAAACGGGGTGACAAGTTGTGGGGAGCTGGAAGAGATTGTCCAGGTAGAGGAGACTGAATGTGTGAGGGCAAGAGGAAAAGGAGAGGAAATACAAAGGCCAGAATAGGCTTACCCCGAGGCAAAGGCCACAGGTAGTCTGAGGGCTTCGAAGGACGGGAGGGAATCAGATTAGGATGTGGATACTTGACTAGAGGAATAGAACAGGAGGCTGGTAGAATAATCCAGATTCGACACTCGAGTGGCACGTACTAGAATGGTGTCCGTACGTAAGGGGAATAGTGGCTGCGTTTGAGAATTAGTTGCTGAAACTGGAAAAAACTTGGTGGTTTTGAACATAGACGATGAGGGAATTAGAAGATTCAAGAATGACGTCCAGGTTTCCGGCTTGTGAAACTGGAGAGACTGGGAGCATCATCTGCTAGGGCAGAGCATACATGGTGAATTCAGGAGAACGCTGCTGTTCACACCTGGACCTGCGAATCTGAGGGGCCATTTCAGAGACTTAGGGGGAGATGCCACCTAGATGTGTATCTGAAGCCCATCAGAGATCCAGGCTGGAACTACAGAAAAATAAGTCATCAGAGGGGCGTCTGCCTTGGGGTCAGATCGTGACCCCGGAGTCCCGGGATGGAGTCCCGCATCGGGCTCCCCACAGGGAACCTGCTTCTCCCTCTGCCTGTGTCTCCGCCTCTCTCTCTATGGGTCTCTCATGAATAAATAAAGTCTTAAAAAAAAAAAAAGAAAACTCCACTCACAACGAAACCACTAAAACCTGTGAGTCAACAGACTTTGATGCTAAATTCTATAGGTTAGATGTGTTTTTTTTTCATTCTTTTTAACCGACACTTAAAATTAACCACCGTCCTTAAAAAGCAGCCTTCTCATGAACTTCTTGGACATCACAGTCACCCAGTTCATTCCACTTCTGTGCCCACTCCTTAGTCTCCTTCTGGAGACTCGTCGTCCCCTCTGGCTGTCTCCAGGCTGTTTTCTGTCCTGAGCCTGCACCAGGTGATCTCACATACACTATGGCTTCAATTGAGCATCTGTAATCTGATGATATTTTTGTTTATTAGGGAACATGAGCAAATGGGAGTGGCAGGAGGAGAGCAGGGAGCCTGACGTGGGCTAATCTTCTAATTCCCTCATCGTCTATGTTCAAAATCACCAAGTTTTTCCAGTTTCAGCAGCTATTTCTCAACCGCAGCCACTATTCCCCTCACGTACTGACACCATTCTAGTACGTGCCACTCGAGTGTCTAGATTATTTTACCAGCCTCCTGTTATTATTTCCCCTCTAGTCAAGTATCCATATCCAGTATTTTCTGAATAAACTCCAATCTGATTCCCTCCCATCCTTCAAAGCCCTCAGACTACCTGTGGCCTTTGCCTTGAGATAACTCTCAACCGCGGAGCCACCGAGGCGTCCCTGTGAATGGGTTTTGAAGTGGAGACAGGATTTGGAGAACGCTTATGAGAAGTTTAGCTGATTCAGAGCAAAATATGGCAACAGGTGGAGGTCAACATTTGAAGGTTTTTCAAAGATGTGAGAAACTTAACTAAGCACATTTAAATACTGGTGTGAATGAGTCAGTATAGAACGAAAAAAAAAAAAGCAAAATACAAAAGAGAAAGGGAAAAAACCAAAGGAGTAAGTTCTCTAGAGGAGATGGGAAAAGAAATGGTGTGTCTCCAAAAAGCTCCTTCCTCTTTGAAATGTGGGCCAGAAACTGGGTTCTGCGAGAGCTCCCTCAGGATGCAGGTTATCCAGCACTGTGTACCTTTCAGCACTGTATCTGGAAGAAAATCCTTTATATTTCTGATAAATAGTTTGAGGTACCCTCATTCCATTTTAATGGAATTTAAGTGGGGTAGGGTCAACACTTGTGATCACACTTGCTTAATTTTAAATTCCCTCCCCAACCAGTTTTTCAATAAAGGCCAACTGTATTCAAAGTATGTATGTACCTTGCTTAAGAACCAACATTCACAGCCTGTGATGGTCTGCAAATGTGCTATTCTCTAGCCTTGGCTAAATTGTTCTACTTTGCTAGCCCTACTTTAAAAAGGCCACCAGCTTTTACAAAAGTGTCCTACTTTATCATTACGTGTGGGTGCATGCTGTTGAGTCAGTAATCTCCCCTCTAAATTAGATGCAGTCTGACTGACCACTGGTTAACAGTGACTGATGACGTCTGAGGCTTTTTGCCTTTATACCCCTATACCTGGACCTTGGGAAAGATGTCAGACTCTCTAAGGAGGAACTGTACGGTCTTCTCTTAGCTCCACATTGCTTGAAATCAGGAATCAACATATCATTTCAAGTATTTGATCTACCATTTGCACCCCTGGCTCTATTTGTTATTTACATGGGATCATCTTTAAGGGAATACAACTTTTGATATTGTTTCAATGTTAATAGTTCGATATTCTGGACCAACTGTTGAACAGAAAACTTTCTGCAACAATGGAAATAGGTTGGGAGTTCAAACCCTAAGCTGGGTTCCATGCTGGGTATTGAGCACTGGGGGTTATATTTAAGTGATGAATCATTAAATTCTACTCCTGAAACCAGCACTACACTAACTTGAATTTAAATAAAAATTTAAAATATAGCCACAGTGACCCTTGGTGATCTCACTTTTGCACTTGATATTGAAGATCATTCATTATATAATGGTAATCCCATTGAAAGACTTAAAATGGGGCAGCCCGGGTGGCTCAGTGGTTTAGCGCCGTCTTCAGCTCAGGGCACGATCCTGGAGACCCGGGATCGAGTCCCACACGGGGCTCCCGGCATGGAGCCTGCTTCCCTCTGCCTGTGCCTCTCTCTCTGTGTGTGTGTCTCTCATGAATAGATAAATAAAATCTTAAAAAAAAAAAAGACTTAAAATGTGATAAAATGTTAGCCAATGAACACTTAATAAAAAGCTAGTAGTGACTACCACTGTTCATTTAATTTTGCCTATACCTTGCTAAGTTTCAAGGCAAATCCATTAAAGAAAAAGGTACGTCCGTATTCCTTTTTAATAATTTAGCATGAGATTTTAGAATATTTTCTCTTAAGGATCTCTTTACTGATAACGAAGTTAATTGATACTACTAACCAAGTTACTACTAATAATTATTAATGGGTAAATATTAATTTCTAGCCTTAGTAGTTAAAAAAAGACTTGGCAAAGGCTATAGGGCAAAGGCAGACAAACACAAAAGCTTTCATACATAACGGTTTCTATGACACCTCAGCTGACACTTTATGGAAAATAGTCCTATTGAAAAAGAAGGAAAAGTTGCTGCTAAGGAATCAAAAACAAAGCCAGATCTCATACTAACAGTAGCTAAAAATTATCAATTTCTCAGATGAGAACACAACCTACTCATGATTGGAGAGTAGTTATGGTTTGTGAATGATGTACGCAATTTGGCTAGGAAAGAACCAAAGGACAGGAACCATATATAATTCCAATTTGGTTAATTTATATGATGAATAGTAATTTTACTCACTAATATACTCAAACTTTCTCTTTACTCCCAGTATTTCTAAAACTTTAATCACATAATTCAAATTAAGGTTATTTATATTTTTTAGCAAGCAAACTTTGATGCTAGAATACGATAGGAAAAAAAAAATCTCAAAAAGAGATAGAATTATAGTTAAATATAAAAATAAGAAATGTAGCCTCTTGATATGGCTAAATTGTTGTATTTAAACATTTAAACTACAGTTTGAGGGGTGAGGGAAGGAGAGGCATTGAAAAGGTTCCTTTATGTCAAAAAGGATGAATTTTGAAAGGAGAAAAGCAATTTATGAACCTATGGACATATTACTGGAGAGAAAAACTACCAAATTCCAAAAGTTAAATCTAATTGGAAAAAATCTAGAAAGAAAAAAATTCTGCTTTCAACTAAGTTTTTTTTGTCCATTTTATAGAAGAGCTTATTTATTCTTTTTCCAAATGGGTATTTATTATTTGTACAGATACATAAAAATGATTCCCGTTTTTTAAAACATACTAAAAATATACATTAACCACAAAAAGCACTTAACTCTGACTGGAAAGAAGATGAGCATGGTTATTTGCAAAAGAGCAATAAACACAAAAAGCAAACATAAATTATGACAAGTGTACATCCATTTTTGATAAAAATAAGTTCTATTTTTACATTAATACTTTATTATAATCTTCTATATGAGATCCTCCGACCTTATTTACATTTGCTATGAAATTTCTATTAGCATGTATAACTCAAAGGCACTCAATTCAGAGGTTTATAAGGTCCTGAGCTTAAGTAGGAAATAGGATTCCCAACCAAAATTTGAACATAAATAATTCTGAAGATCAGAGAATATGAAAATGTTTAAAGTATAATATTTGGTACATAAATAATCCATGACCCAGAATAAAGTACAGAATGTCAAAGAAAAGACCAGGTAAGACAAAAGAATATCCTCAGGTTCAAATTGATTTTCTCCCCCATTCAAGTTCATTTGAAAGTCTAAAGCTGATTTTGTTAAAAATCCTAATAAGAAAACTAAATTAAAAGCAAAGTAAAATAGCATGAAAATGCTTACATTAAATAAAAAGTTCCCCAACTTAGTCTCCAAAACCACAAAAAAAAAAAAAAAAAACCCACAAAAAAGTATTTAATGATTAAAAATGAGCACAGCTTAGAGGAATAGCAGAATACGAGGAGGAGTTGAAATGAGCAGTTGAAAAAAATTAAAGGACAGCTTTAACAATTGAAACAGCATTTATAATTAGCCATTCAAATAGTTTCTTTAGCATTCTTTTAGACAAATAAAAATAAGTTTACAGGTAGATAACTGACAGTCACTAACATTAGGTAGGATCAAAGTTTAAACCAAAAATTAAATCTATATTAGGCTTCAGAGAAATATGAATTTTACCTACAGCGATTTTCTACTGATGCTTAAAAATTAAAAGCATGAGTCAACATCTTTGTAACAAATGGTTTGACAGACATTTTCTTGGCTTTAAAATGGTTTTTTTTTTCATATATGCATAGAAATGTAATGAGCATAAGAATAGTCTTCTGTATTATCTGTACAGTTCATAAGGCCTTTGTCTTTGTTAGTCACCTTAGACGTGAATATCAGTAGGGCCATTAAATTAAAGCTGGCCGAAAAAGTTTTCAAAGTGCTACTGTTTCCAACTGATGAGATCCTCAGTTTTCTGGATTTTCTGGATGATTACTTTCAGTTCTTTTTTCTGGTGATATATACAGGAAGTTACAGCAGATGTATAAAGGGAAGATGAGAAGTCTGCTGTCCAAGTTCATCACTACTTGTTCCTATAAAACAAATTTGTAGCTTTAATAACAAGAAAAAATAAAACAGAAAACCAAACTGTTGAATCCAGTTAACAGAAGGAGATCATATGGTGGTTAAGAGCTTTGCATCCAGGGGCGCCTGGGTAGCTCCCTCGGTTAGGTGTCTGCCTTTGGCTCAGGTCGTAACCCCAGGGTCCTGAGATCAAGCCCTGCATTGGGCTCCCTGCTAAGCGGGGAGCCTGCTCCCTCTCCCTCTGCCCAACCCTCCTCATCCTCTCTCTTTCAAATAAATAAACTCTTAAAACAACAACAAACAACAACAACAAAACAAGAGCTTGCATCCAAAGTCTCAAAATCACTGTTCAGATCTTGAAACTCCTACCTACTCCTACTGGCTGTGATGTTGGGCAAGGCAAGTCAATGACTTGTCAGCTGCAGCTTCCTTACTGTAAAATGAATAAAAATACCTACCTCATATGATTATAGTGAGGATTAAATGAGACATAGAGGACTCAGCAAAGCCAGCCATGTAGGAATTACTCATAGTAGTTATTTTCATTATGAAAAATTTCTATCCAGTATCTACATAACGTAGGAACAGATGTAGTCCAGAAATACATAGCAATTTGGATTCATTTTATGATGGCCTTTATTTATTGTTTTTAAAAAGATTATTTATTTGAAAAAGAGGGAGAGAGCAAGACACAAGCCGGGGAAGAGGAAGAGGGAGAAGCAGACTCCCCACTGAGCAGGGAGCCCGATGCACAGCCGGAGCCCGATGCAGGGCCCGATCCTGGGACTCAATCCCAGGACCCGGGATCATGACCTGAGCCCAAGGCAGATGCTTAACTGATTGAGCCACCCGGGTGCCCCTCCTGATGGCCTTTAGGTATTGCAAATAATAGGGAAGGTGGGAAGTCATTATTAGCACCAATAAGCATGGTTCCCATATTCCCACTAATTTTTTAAAAAGGTATTTATTTATTCATGAGACACACAGAGAGAGGGGCAGAGACACAGGCAGAGGGAGAAGCAGGCTCCCTGTGGGGAGACTGATATAGGATTCCAACCCAGGACCCCGGGATCACGCCCTGAGCCGAAGACAGATGCTCAACCACTGAGCCATTTTTTTTAAGCCCACATTCCCACTCTTGTCTTAGATTTTCCACTGTCTCTAATGCAAACATATTATTTGTCTCTTGGAATTTAAAATACATTATCTTGTAAAAAAAATAAAATAAAATACATTATCTTGTAAAATCAATTTCAGGCTCAATTAAATCAGTACACATGAGAATGCCCTGAAATCTCATAGAGACAGGAGTCGATCCTGTACCTGAAAGGCACAAATGTGATCATCTTTCATTCTACAAATCTCCATTTGGAACCCTGTACGAACAGCATTTGGTGAAAAAAGTCATCAGAGTAAAAAGAGCAACACTGGAACTTCTACTTTTTGAATACTTACATTCTTTGCAGTAATATACATTAGTTTTGCTTTATTTTATACATTTTGAAGAATGTATTTTTTTTAAGATTATTTATTTATTTATTTATAGAGATGCAGAGAGAGAGAGAGAGAGGCAGAGACAAAGGCAGAGGGAGAAGCAGGCTCCATGCAGAGAGCCTGATGTGGGACTCGATCCAGGGTCTCCAGGATCACGCCCTGGGCTGCAGGCGGTGCTAAACCGCTGCGCCACCGGGGCTGCCCTGAAGAATGTATTATTAAGTACTGTTTAAACCTAAAGTTTTTTATTTTTTACTAAGGAAGATGCTCCTGCAAAGAAGGATGAACACACTGGAACATGTGAATGATTGGCGTAGGCTTAACTGGACATAGCTTCTGTGGTGGAGGAAAAGCAAGATAAATTGGATAAAGAGGTTAGGAACACGAACACACACACACACACACACACACACACACACACACACACACACAATATCTCTAGATACCTCCAAATGGGGGAAATGTTTTTAAAAAAGTGTTAGTGAACAAGATGGGTGAGATGATGGATCAAGTGAGGCGATCACCTAGGCTGATGGTACTAACAGGGTTAGCAGAGAGAAATGATGTCAAACATAGTTGGTCTTTAGAAGCTTGAATCACTCTGGTCTAGACAAAGTTTGTAGCTACAACCCAGGTGAAGACACACTAACTGAATTTGTTGAGCACATATACTTTGACGATATGTACATTTGATGATTAAAAACCAAGATTCAGTGCCACAACAAAACAAAGAGTCCAAGGAAGATTCTAGTATTTCAATATAGGTAGGGCTGGGGGTGGGGGTAGGTCTAAGTACCAACTTTGGGAAAAGAGCAGAGCCATGTGGCCATCATCTGAGAGCTGAACGGATACACTGATTTCTGAGTATTAGGTTCTATTAATTCTCAATCCCCATCCCCAAACTAGAGAGATCTAATCTTAGCTTTACTAAACCTCTAACTCCACCTGAGGGCTCAATTTACAACTGTTTGCACTGAAGCAACATAACGTTCATTTCCTTTCTTCCCCTACAGAGTGGAAGCTGAGAAGCCCACACATCACAGCATCAGACAAAGCGGCAGCATCTTTCTAGGTCTCCATTTCTACTTCCAGACTGTTACTTCTCCATCTTCATTTACAAATCCCTGCTTCTCTGAGGCTCATCGCTTATTCTGTACTATAGCTCTATCACTTCCCCACATGTTCCATCTAGGTCTAAATTCCAAGGATTTAGAAATCTCTCTACTGGAAATTGTCACCTAGATATAAAGCAGCCCCAAATCAAACCATCAGCTACTTGCTACTACCTCTTCTTTTGGGGCCATCTACACTTTCACTCTTGCAATTTGGCTTGGACTGCTTACCCCGGCTCTTGAATGTCTCACCAGGTTACTTTTTTTGCTCACCCCTCAAATACCAGTGTCCCCTAGGTTTCTGTCCTGTCAGATTCTCCACACAGTTCCTGGAGGCCACCTCATCCAGTTCTTCCTAGTCTAGGCATTCTTGTAAACCCCAGACCCATTTACCCACTGCCCATCACACTTTCCCCTCAGTGCCCTGAAATTAAATATGGCCTAAGCTGAATTCATTATCTTTTCATCCTCACTTTGTCACGTTCATTCTCCTTCCTGTAATTCAAATCAAAGGCAAAATTACCATAAATCAAGTTGCCCAAGTCAGAATATTAGGAACTATCTTTACTCTCTTCCTTCACATAATTAGGCATCAAATTCTATCAACTGCACTTATTTCTAGAACCCATCAACACTTCTTCATCTCCACTGCTACCTTCCTTAAGTTAAGGTTTTCAGTATTTATCTGGATTATAACAATAACTTCTAACTCTAATTATTACGTCTCTAATCCTTCTTATACAATGCTAAGACTCTTCATCTTTTTTTTAAAGATTTTATTTTTGGGGATCCCTGGGTGGCTCAGTGGTTTAGTATCTGCCTTCAGCCCAGGGCGTGATCCTGGAGTCCCGGAATCGAGTCCTACATCAGGCTCCCCACAAGGAGCCTGCTTCTCCCCCCTCTGCCTGTGTCTCTGCCTCTTTCTCTCTGTGTCTTTCATGAATTTTAAATTTTTTTTTTTTCACGAAAGTCACAGAGAGACACAGAGAGAGAGGCAGAGACACAGGCAGAGGGGGGAGAAGCAGGCTCCATGCGGGGAGCCTGATGTAGGACTCGATCCTGGAACCCCAGGACCACGCCCTGAGCCAAAGGTGGCACTAAACCGCTGAGCCACCCGGACTGCCTGAGATCCTTCATCTAATGCAAATCTAGTCAGCACGGTTTTATAAGATAGCTATAAAAACAAAAATCACTAGCTTTCATCAAAACTGTATGTCATTAGAAACTATTAGGAAGAAAATTCATTTCATATTAGCAATAAAATATACTTAGACTTTTGCTTCTAAGAAATATATGGGGGGAAACTATGGGGAAAATGAAAATATAAGGGAAAACTATAAATTTTAGAGAGAGACATAAAAGGAGACCTATGTAAAGCAGAAAATACCATATGCCAGAAAGGAAGACATCAGTTTTCCACAAATCATATATTTAACAAATATAAATCAAATCCTCATAAGATTTTTTGAGAGGAAACTTGATTCTATATGCTATTAATAATAATAATCATGCACAAAGACCCCAGAGGTTTCTGAAAAGAGTAAAGGTGGGTTTGCATTACTAGGTATTAAAATTCATTTTAAAGTTAGTCTAGTTAAAAGCGTATTGTTTCTGCAAAAAGAAGTCAATAAAGCCTAACAAAGTTCAGAAATGAAAGCAAGTATAAAAGGATTTAGTATGTGGTAAAGTGGCATTACAAATACACTGATACATCTGATACATTCCATCTATGTCATCAGAATATACTCCAATATAAAACAGGAAATAGAAGTAGAAAAAAAATACTGACACAGAAGGCTAGAAGTCCTAAACATCACATGAAAAGAAATCATTAGAGGAATAGACTGACAAATTGTTTCATGAAGGTTCAGAGACAAGTAACAAGAATGGAGAAAGCTACAGCATACCACAAATATTGTTATTCTTAATATACAAAAGCTGTTAAAAATTAACAAGAAAACAGACCACACCCTAATAAGGACTTCAACATTAACAATATAAACTATCAACTAACAAAATCTAGTATATCTAATGTGCATACAAAATACCTAACTACACCAGTAACTAGTGCTTGCTTCGGCAGCACATATACTAACTACACCAGTAACTAAAAAAATGAAAATTGTTTTAATTTTAATTTTTATTTTTTTAAAGATTTAATTTATTTATTCATGAGAGACAGACAGAGAGAGAGAGAGAGAGAGAGAGAGAGAGAGAGAGAGGCAGAGATACAGGCAGAGAGAGAAGCAGACTCCATGCAGGGAGCCTGATGTGGGACTCGATCCCGGGTCTCCAGGATCACGCTCTGGGCTGAAGGCAGGTGCCAAACCGCTGAGCCACCCAGGGATCCCCTGTTTTAATTTTTATATAATCTGTTTCTACATTTTGTATTGGGGGAAAGA